TAACAACAAGATTTTAGGAAAGAGTCAAATTTAATGGACAAATGAACTCAGCAGTGACTTAATGAAAATACTCACCTATCTTACAGATAGTTTGAAATTCTTCATTTTCTTGGTCATAGCATGCAAGGAGGAAGGCACCATAAACTCCTACAAGACATGCCGCCTTTTCATTTTAGATCACTCCAAGCTAAGGAATTACAATAGCAGTATATATAAAAGATTAGAAAAGATTAAAGAGTGTATTTCATGATCACCTGTACGTTTCCCACGACCATGGAAAGCAGCAATAGGCACCAAATCTAATGAGTCCCCTATACTGCAAATTAGAGCCAATGAGTAAATAGAAATCCATTATGAATAAAAAAAAGGAATTAAGAAATATGAATGTCACATCCTTACTTTTCCAGATAATCTTTCTTCAATTTTAGCCAGTTGAGAGAACGCTTGGCAGGTTCATATGTAGCATCTTCATTTAATGTTTTAACAATTAATCCCTCACAACTACATATCAAGAGACAAGGCCAATGATCAATGACAAAATTTCTAATTCAAATTATTGCAAGAAAACCGAAGTTGGGAACATTTGTGAACGTTAGACAAACAATTAAGAGTGTTTGTTTTGCCTGTTTCCCACTTTCTAAACAAAGCACATTTAACTTAAATCCTTGTCTCATATGTCATTCACATTCGACATGATTGAACAGAAAATCAAACACACTAATTAGTCTACTGTCCTTCAATGCCAATCAAATGCTTTAGTAATGTGATATAAAGTATAATAAATTATTCTGAAATGATGTATAATTTTAACTCAAACAAAGAAATTTCTATTCCAGGAATTTAAATAAACTAGAAGAATCAGTAGACCTTGCATTAACAGCTTTGTCAAGAAATTTCTGTATTTCCTCAACATCATTTGATGTTATTGATGTTGCAAACTGAAGAAATCCAGTTTCTTCCTCAAAAGAGGCATAGAGATGCTGCAGAGAGAAAACCAGATATTCATCAACATATAGTTCTTAATTATGCTAGAGAAAAGAGACGCTCCGCGCCTCTATAGAAGTTACATAATAATAGGTGGTAATTAGATGAGTAGTTCAAGGTTATAGGAGTAATATAGTCCACAGAAATGTGTATACCAAAAATGATATCCCATTTATTATATGTATTGATGTATTGATATAGATGTATATAGATGTATAGATAGAGCCCATAATTAATGGGAGATGACAATTCATAAATAAATACTTGTAAAAAATAACATTTGATGAACAGTTTTAAAAGAGACCAATCAGCCTCCCGACCAAACTGAAAAACTTTAAAAACCTAATCCCTTGAATTCCCCGACCAGGATTTATTGCTTTAGTTATCGGACGGAGCTCAACCTCAACCTTTTCCACTTAACTACACCAACTCAAATGACACAATGAACAGTCAATTACACTCCAACCCACCCAGGTGCTGCCTGTATATTATGCTGGCCCAAAGCCAACAATCTTTGAGCATTTTGCTAAGGTGCTTCAACGAAGCTTGCTTGAAGCAACTCTCCTGTTGGAGTAAGCCGACTTGGCGATGAAAGTTGCATAAAAAAAATTTCAATTCCTTCAGCAAACAACTATTCCTTACTATTAAAAAGCAATATTTTAGACCTAGTTGGGACCACCATGCAACTGTTACATAATCAAGTCAAAAATAAAAAATAAAAAATTATGAGTTTCTTGAAATTCTTTAAAATTTCCTCCATTGAAACAAAATTAGGTATGAGTTTAACAATGACATGGCACAGTGGGAAACACCAATCACACCTTTAGATGTACTAAGCAACTCATGGAAATTGCCCTTACAATCCTCTTTCCAGTTCCAGCCTCATACAATTCAACATTCCAGAAATATAAGTCATTGATAGCACTTTCTCAATCAATTGCCTGTCATTGAATTAAAAGCTACAGCACATTGCAATCTTATAACAACCCACCTAGACCTTACCAAGGCTAGATGCTGACCCAAAACCTAAACTCTGCACATCTTATATTCTGTGGACAGACCTCTTTAAAATTTTATCTTAAAAACTGGATCAGCTATTTTGGTTTCCAACTTACAGCCATCTCTATCAAGGACTTGCCTACTTAATAAATAAAACAACAAAATGAAACTATTGGTGGAGCAAAGATAAAAGTACCTCTCTACGGACTCTAAGATTTTCCTGCAGAAGTTCTTGGCCATTCAGATACAACAGATCAAAAGCAAATACGCAAACATCAACCTTTACATCCTTGATATCTACTTTCTTGCGAGGCCGAGTACTAAGCTTCTGTCAAGATTAATAGATCATGAAGAGAAAAACATGAAAATGTTTTTGAAAGAGTCAAAAGATATTTTAAAGACTTTGGATAATATAAATGCAGGTACCAATAAATGCAATAAGGCAAATGTAATTTCCCATTTTTAAGGGATATAGATAAGCAGATAACTAGCTCTGATACACGTCCTATCTCTTCTATATTAGAGGACTTCCTATATATCAGTAAAAGGAGAAAAAAAATTCTTTTAAAGTCACATGTCTAATCTCAACTCTTCACACAAAATATCGGATGTTGAAAAGTTGCATCACCAAAATAGGTAAGACAACACAAGCAAAATGTACAAAAGGACTTGATTTTGCTCATCTGCCCGTATAAAAGGGTTCCTACTCTCTACACTATCACTAAATGATGTATTGAAACCCATAAAAAACCAGCATTAACATTACCTGGAAAGATTCGATTTGCTGTTTTGCACGATCATATGCAACAATTTCACAATCAAGAACAAATGACGATACAGTTGGTTTCTTTAACCTGTTCACTGACAGCAAATATCAGAAACTATGAAAATGAAATTTGTACTGGGAAGCAACGGGTGTACTATCTCAAACCGTCACCAGTCATTAAGAGTGTTTGTTTCACTAAATGCAGCTTCATGTTGTTAAGGAAATGCACTTAACCACCAACAAGACTGATCCAGACCCAAAAATATAATATTCCTAATACAGTTTGTGTACCTTGAAACTGCAGCAACAACGTCAGGATACTTGTCAGTGTTCCGTTCTTGGTGTCTACTGTAAACCTCAACTGAGCCATTCTCCACATAATGTATCTGTCTCAACACAGATAACGTTATTGCACATTAAGTACTGTAAGGGCTATGTTTCTGAGGGAAAATTTGACTAAGCATCACCTGGGCACGCTCTCCATCATATTTGTATTCACAGGTAAACTCCACATCCTGGAATTTATTTAGAACTTCTGATACACCCTTTGTTGCCTTGGACAGCATAGGTTCAATTGGAACACCTGGAGTAAATTTACATGTCTTTGGAAGCATCCATAGACCCTCTGTAAGCAGTGCAGATACTATTTTGTCATAGTCAGGAAGAACAGAATAGACTTGTTTAATAATATTTGAAGCCTGATGCAAAATGAAAACAGAAATTAGAAAAATATAATAGGAAAGGAAATATGATGAATTACTAAAGCCTTAAGGTTCCTAAAATTCATAATAGGGGAAAGGTTGGTATCATCACCAGAAATCACCTATCCCCACTTCAGCAGCAGCACCCCCCATCCCCAATGTTCAGTGCTGATGCACTTCAAATGTTTAAAACCCAATGCATATATTGATATTCACCTTGGCCTCCTCATGAGACTTGACCATTTAAACTAACATATTTCCCACTTCAATCAGATTAGCTTACCTCTTCTAAAGGAGACTTAATTTCAGGAGGGGGTTTAGAATGTTCTTCAGTGTTGTATGCTGCAGCTTGGCCTAATGCAGCTAAGAGAGTTTTCTCAGAATAGCCAATTCGCAACTTTGCCTAGAGACCAAGAACAGATTAACATGGAGAAGTAAGCCCGCCAAACATTATAGTAAAAATTACAAACAATTTCAACCTGTAGCAGTCGGATTAGATATTGAGGTTCACAGTCAGTAGCAGCAACAAGAAGTGCCCTGATAAGATCTTTTTTCTTCTCTACACTGTCTTTTCCAGATTCCTGCATACATTTAGAAATGAAGACAAAGTGACATTGTTTCAAAACATCCATCTCCATACCAAAACATTGATTCAAATCCCAACACAAATTTCTCTTTCTTTCTCTTACAGGACATAGATTGTGCAAAGCATCCAATATACCCACCACACAGATAACAAGGAATTTAAAAATCAAAAAAAATATAGAACATAACTTTTAGTAAGTCATATCTTTCAGCAAAAGATATATCCCTACCAGACAGGAAAATAAAATAACAAATGAACCTCCATTGCAGGCACTTTATTCTGATACCGTGTGTTAAAACTCCAACAAACATCTAACCATAAAAGAGTATCAACAAAATGAGCTTAAAAATGATTGTCATGCTCCCTAAACTATGTTACATGGGCACCAATAACAAACTCCAAGTTTTCAATATCAGTTTATCTAAAAATTCATATTTGCAAATTCTCTCTTTTTTTTTAACAGTCATTCTTTTCTACCAAACGTATTTACAATAAAACAGGTTGTCCCAAACAAAGGCATGTGGCCATGCTGAGCCTAGTTCCTTCAATCACCCAATATTGTAATGTAACGTAATAAATTCAAATTAATACCCAACTTAGATCAAAATCAACTAGACACTAATATCAACTTATCACCTCGGGTTTTGAAGAAGCTAGATGAGAGAACTTCTAACAAAGTTAAGGTACGTAAGTTGGCTTTAAATTAAGAGAATCTCAGTTCATTTTACCCTCTTATCTTATTTTCTAAGTGTTAATGGAGAATTTCATCCAAACAAAGCCTAAACTTGGCAAGACAAAACTAGACACTAATATTTAAAACAACACACCACAAGCCTGAGGCAAGCGGGAAGTGAAGAAGCAATGCAAATAAGTGAATAGCCCAAATGCATGACATTCAAAATTGACGGTAACATTACATACTCACCTTAGCAATAACGCGAAAAGTATTCAAAACCTTCCTAATAGTCAATGCAACAGGCTTCCTAAACATGCTCTGCGAAGAACGGCTCGCCTTAGCAACCAAGCCCAAATCCCCTTTTTTCTGCCAACATCAAACACCTTTATCATCATCATCATCCAGACAACAATAACTAGCCCAAATCAAATACAATAACAAGCTACATAATTAGTCTTTGATTAGATGGAGCAAAATGAAAAATCACAATAAAAAGAAATGAAGAAAAACAAAGCAACACAACGAATTCACCTCGTACTGAGTCTTGACAGATGCCTCGTTCGTTCCGTAGGCGCTGGCGAGGGCCCTGATGATGGAAGCCTCGCCGACGCCCAATTCGAGGCCGGTGTGCGCCGGAGCGATCTTGTTGGCGGAGAGGTAAATGACGGGAACGAGATCCTCCGGCGTGACGTGCATGACAGTCCTAAGCACGTTGCAGACGATGTCCGTCATGACGATTCTCCCGGACTCGAGGGAAATCATGTCGAATGCCAATGCGAGGAAGAGGAACGGCACGGGTTCGCCGTTCTGCCACCAAGCAACGGAGGCCGGGTCGAAATCCGAGGGTTTCTTCTTCAGCAGCGAAGCTCGCTTCTTGAGCTCCGCGGTGTTATCCTCCGACGAAGAGGGAGATGGTAGGGACAGGCTGAGCAACTTTTTCTTCGGTGCCGGCGCGGGTTCGGAGGAGGCGGGTTCAGGTTTGGGAGGTTTTTCGAGGGGATTGGTGATGCTAGGGTTTTGAGAGGAGGTGGAGTGCGGGGATTTTCTTTTCCTGGGAGAGGAGGAGGGTTGCGCCGGCTGGGATTGAGACTTCTTGGCGGCGGCGCGAGCGCCGGACATGAGAGCGTCGAAGGCGGAGGGGCGCTTGGACATGGCGCGGAAAGGGGCGGAGGAGAGAGAGAAGAGAGAGGAAACCCTAAGAGTTATGGAGGTGTAGAGAGGAGGAGAGAAACGCAATGCAAGCATGAACGAAGGAAATGAGAGAAGAGATAGTAGCAAGTAACAAACAAACAAGTAGGCAGAGAGGGTTTGTTTGGAGAGTGCGAATGCGCGAAACTTGATGCAAATGGCGGGAACACATTACTTTTGGGTCTTTCTCATTCTCACTCTCTTCACTTCACTTCTCGCTCCTCCTCATAAAATAAAGTTAAGCTAATCAAAATAATCTTTATTTATAATATTAAAAAACTAATCATAAATATAATTAATCAGTTATTTAAAAATATTATATAATTAAGGATTAAATATATTTTTGGTTCTTCAAAAATTGTCTCTATTTAATTTAGTTCTTAAAAAAAATCCTTACTTTAAGTAAATTTATATAATACATATTTATATTTTTTTAAAAATATTGATAATTTTTGTTGCTAAAAAATGTCATATAAACATTTAAATCACTATTAGTTTTATTGGCATGAAAAAATTTTAATCTAAAATATTAATTATTTTAGAGTTAAGTTTTAAAATCAAAACTAATTTTACACTTAAATTTTTTTACTATTCCTTCTCATATTAGTCATACATAGCATATTAATGCTCTAACAACTTATGAAATAATAACATCAATATCTCACTCAAACCATGCAATTTATAACATACAATCAAGTATAACATATCAATGTTTATCACCATTTTAATTATATAAGCATAGCATGTCAATGTTTATTATTATCATCCTACATCAAATCACTAGTGCAGAAAAGTCTTTTACGTCAGCTAAATTACGTCGGAATAGGCCAACACCGACGTTATAAAAACGCGGTAGGAGAATGGTAAATAAAGATAGCTAATTTACGTCGGCTTAGTGGGGGTCCGACGTAAATTAGCAATTATACGTCGGAGAAATATAGAAGCCGACGTAGATTTGCTAATTTACGTCGGACCCCTACCAGGCTGACGTAAATAATCCACTTCACTGCACTTAAATGAAGCTTCACACTTACTGGAGGAGATTTGAAGATTTCAAAATTAACCTTCCTTCTCCCGCGCGCTTCACACTTGCTGGAGGAGATTTGAAGATTTCAAAACCTTCCTTCTCTCGCGCGTTGTGTAAATCTCTCCGCCTCCTACTCCTTCGGTTCTTCCATTCATACGGCAAATGGGTGAGGAAGCAAAACTTTCTGTTGACATTGTGATTTCCTAGTAAAACTTTTTTTCTTGCTGATAGTGTTATCCTAAATGTGTATTTTGTATTTCTTATGCCAAGGAATTGACTTTGAATGAATATAAAGAACTCAGTGGCAATGAGTAATGGAAACATTTGCAATAATCATTAAGAATACATAGGAGGGAGATTGATGAAATTTAATCCCAACTATTTTTTATATCTGTTTTCCTTAAATTTAATTTGATTTTGGTTACTTAAGTTTAAATCACTGCTCACATTAAATATTTAACATATGTGTGAATATTCAAACTTTTAGTTTACAAGTAACAATTAGTGTAATAAAAATCAAGATCTACTTCACAAGTTCCTGAGGATCGACAACCTTTTTACTATACTATAGAGACTTGGGTGTGTTTGCTCGGAGAACCAACAACAATCATAATTCACACTAAGTAAGTCAAGTTAGAGATTCCCCCTGAAACGGTCACACTCGCTTGCTTTAAGTGACCTCATTGGCACTCTAAGCGAGCAAACCCATAAACATGCATGAGCCTCGAAACACACTTCATCGCTTTGAAGAAAATAACTTGCAATTCAAAAATCTCACACCTTGTTTCAAATTTCAACATGCAACCAATAACAATTACCTTCCCTGTTCATTTTACTAAAAACATCACATAATAACCCATGTGTAACCATTCAATAGCATCAAGATCATGGATTTCATCCATCCTTCACCACAAACACCAAAAACATCAAGTTCTTCAAACTTCTCAACACCCAATCCAATTCAATCATAGTAACAAGCATTTAACAGAATTCAAGCACGTGTAACACCAACAATTCTTCTAACAACAAGCTCTAACTTCCCTTACCTTAATTCCACACCAAAAGAAAAGAGGGATAATGAAGAACTAGTTCTGAACTTTTGAACTCGAGGAGCTTCGCATGACATTGCCTCAAATTCCCAGCTTAAAACTTAAAATCCACAATCCACCACAAGAATCACACACTAGAAATGTCTAAAAAGAAGAAACTTCAGGATCTGAAGCTTATCTCTCTACAATTCTCTTTAAGGTTATGAAGGATATGGGCTTTTGAAGCTTAAACATAAACAAAAACTTTATATACCTTACTTTCTTAGGGTTAGTTGAATCTCAAGCTAGAGACCCTCAAAACACCATGAACACTCAACCCTAATAAAAAGTATAGTGTTACAATTTCATTTAGAGTGGAACTCATGCACGTAATTAAACTTCATTTAGTGGACTGGGAAACTATCACTAAATTACATGAATACTTATATACTGGGGAAGTTGATGTGGGACATGATTCATAATGCATATAAGCTTTGGGTATATAGTTGTTGATGGCTAAATATCCCGATCAGGATGTGCAATGTGGTTTGGAGCATGATGGATCTTACTTTCTATGTTCTCTAAGGCAAATGTATTCTCACCTAAAGGAGGGTTTTGGATTACACTAGGGAAATGGGGAGTCTAGTTATGGTTTGATCCTTGGTTTCAAAGATTTTTCATTGCACGTGAAGTACCAAACCCATGATGCTCATGTTAGGGTGTAAGATGCACTAGTACAATAAGGGTAATTTACGTCGGTTATTTTAAGTTTTTTACGTCATAAAAAGGTTCAACGTAAATGCGGGATACGTAAATTTACGTCGGCTGTAATATCCGATGTAAATTTACATCGGACATTCACAAGAGCCGACGTAAAAAAGTTGGAAACAAAAAAAAACATAACACGTGGAAGCAGAACGGGCCGTTCTCCAAGTAGAACGGTCCGTTCTGATTGGAGAACGCCCCGTTCTTCTTGGAGAACGACCCGTTCTGTTTGGAGAACGGGCCGTTCTGCTTGCAGATCCACCCAACGTGAAGCATTTTCTACCTGTATTAACTAATATATTAACAAACAATGATTTACCCAAACGCGAAAAAGAAGATAATATTAACTAATATATTAATAGATCATTACATACATTTATTTTCAACATATTAGCCAATATATTAAGAAAGGATTTTCCAAACTAACCTCAAACGCGAGCCCAATGCAATCGGTCAAAAACTCAAGAACCACTCAAACGCGCAAGCATACACTCAGATGCAATACACTCAAACGAAATCTTAACTCAGAAAACTCGAATGACACATACACTCAAAGCTCTCTTTTTTAAATATTGACGCGCGCGCGAATATAATTTAAAATTTGTAGATATTTTACATCAGACCTTGTAAGGACTGACGTAAAAAAGTTGGATTTAATTACAAAAATGACACCACATTTTTTTAACGTCGAATTTGTCCGACGAGAATACAGTGACGTAAATTACCCTTTTTCTGCTAGTAAATTAACTTGTTACTCCATTGTCGATTGAAACAACCAATGAACTTCAATAGTAGTCTGCTTGGTTGCATCCTAGGCTTGTGATGTCCTTGTGTGGAGTGGAAGTATTCCTAAATTACATTTGGCTGCTTTCGCTTATCATTGGTTATCTTTTGATGGCGATGGTTCTCTTTTAGTTTCTTGGAAATGTATTTGGTAACTGCCTTTGGGTGAAAATATCAAATTTTTTATCTGATAGCTTTGTAAGCATGCCTTGACAACCTATGAAATTCTTCACCTGAGACATATATGGGTGGGGGTTCTTTATGATGACAACAGAGTCATGAGAATAAGAATACGTTGCACCTCTTATTTCGTTGTGGTTGTACCTTGTTAGTGTGGAGGATGTTGGGCTTGAATAATATGGAGCTTTTGCATCAGTAGGCTAGCTAGGACAAGTGGTTGTGGAATGTTTTGATAAATGGGGTATTTTGCCTCTTATTATTTTGTGGTTGTAATGGAAGTATCGCAACCTGCATATCTTTAAGCAACAATATATGGTTCCTTAGAGGATTGTCTAGTACGTCTACTTGTTGTTGGAAGTCAGTTACCGAGCTTACGAGGGAGGGAACTTTTCCCACCAACATATGAGTGAGGCTTGGGTTCATTGTGTGCATGCAACCGATGGGTAGGTTACCTTGCATGTGGATGACATTTGTCTGGGGCAACTTGCCCCTGCTAATTAATTTTGGTGGGTTGCTTTGTGATTCAACTAGTACATGACTTAAGGGATTTTATAGTGATATTGGTATATCGATCGAACAACACCAAGGCAGATTTAGCTGGTTTATTGTTTGGGTTGCAGCTTGCTTGGCGGCATATATAGTTATAAGGATGTTTTGTGTTTCTCAGTTTCTTCTTACGCTATCTTGTTGGTGTAATCATCTGGTGATCATAGACATTGTTTAAGTGTTTTTGTTCGACATATCCAAGAGTTGTTATGTGGAGATTGATAGGTTTAGTTGCAACACATGTTACAGGAGGACAACTAATGTGCTGATTTTTTAGTTAGGTTGAGACCAAACTCTTATTTTGCATATTTGGAGTTAGTCCCACCACCACTCGCTTTAAAATTGCCCCTTTAAGTTAATGTCATGGGATTGCAATTTTTGCAGTTGTAGTTTTTATTTTATTGCTTGTTTATTATCATTTAAAAAAAAGAAGAAGACATAACTTAATATTTTAAATTAAAAAGTTTTATGTCAATAAAATTAATGATGATTTGGATGTTAATGTTACATATTTTAACATTCAAAGTTAATCGAGTTTAAAAAATGATTAAAAACATGTATTATATAAATATAAAAAGACTAAAATTAAGAAAATATTCTTTAAGGATCTAAAACCAAATAAAGTCTTGAAAGATCAAAAAATAATTCACTTTAAAATTAATTATTTAAAAATATTATAAAATTAATCATATTTTGTATAATAATAAATAGTCATTAACTATAATATTTTTTAAAAATCAGTTTTTTTAGTATAACGGTTTAGTTTTTTTTTACACCTATCAACGGTTTTAATTTTTATAAACTCGATTATATATCAAAATCGGTTATTTAAGCGATAATAATCAAAACTAATTTGAGTTTAAAAAAATAAATTTTTATAATAA